AAGAGTTCCATGAGTTCCAAGAGTTCCAAGAGTTCTAAGAGTTCTAAGGGTTCTAAGAGTTCCAAGAGTTCCAAGAGTTCTAAGGGTTCTAAGAGTTCTAAGAGTTCCAAGAGTTCTAAGAGTTCCTAGGGTTCTAAGAGTTCTAAGAGTTCCAAGAGTTCTTAGGGTTCTAAGAGTTCCTAGGGTTCTAAGAGTTCCAAGAGTTCTAGAGTTCCAAGAGTTCTAACGGCTCTAAGAGTTCTAAGGGTTCTAAGAGTTCCAAGAGTTCTAGAGTTCCAAGAGTTCCAAGAGTTCTAAGAGTTCTAAGAGTTCTAAGAGTTCTAAGAGTTCCAAGAGTTTCAAGAGTTCCTAGGGTTCTAAGAGTTCCAAGAGTTCTAAGACTTCCAAGAGTTCCAAGAGTTCTAAGAGTTCCATGAGTTCTAAGGGCTCCAAGGGTTCCTAGGGTTCTCTAAAGTTTAGATGGTGTACTAAGTTGTAAATCCCTGCTAGAATGCGATTTGAAGAGTTCTGGGTTCTTGAAGAGTTCTGAACTCTTAGAACCCGGCCACGTCTCATATTTACCCATAAAAAACTTCTTTGGTCCTAATGAGTCTCATATAGATAGACGTCCCCCGCGCCGCTCTATCGAATGGCTAAAACCTGAACTCGATAGCTATCAATGGTGAAGAGTTATTCAAGAAATGGTGGCTGGCATTTAAAAAAAAATCCGACAATAGTCACCAGGCGTAACTCTGGAGAGAAAACCAGCCTGACTCAGAGTTTATTTTGTTCAATTGCTTGGACTTCCTATACGTACTGTCTAACCACATATTAGCCCGAGGACTAGTGTATGTCACACGTAGGGAGCATGCTATCGGGCGGGTGATCCGAAGCACACAGCCGATAGTCACTTGCTCAGGGTCATCTTATCACTGGTGGTACAGAGACTCCAACGCAGTGCCTTTAAAGTATGTTTCAAACAACTTAACGACTCAGCCATAGCGCGTAGCTTCTTATGCAGAATAGTATATACTGGTGACGAAGCTAGACTCTCATTTTGAAACTTTTTTGTTTTCCTTTACTGAAATTGCTTCATTTTCTTGGCTCCTTCCAAAAAACGTTTTTTGAAAATGTAGTGTGAGTCTTCTTTGCTGTCAAGATTTATCTTCCCTTGTGTTTTCCTTATAAGCGAATGAACATTTTCACAGAAACGTAAAGATCTTTGAGCTTTGTTCCAAGTGACGTTAATTAATACATTCTAAAACAAACCTATTCCAGAGATTCCGAAGCGGTTTGCCAAGAGAAAAAGATTTGTTGGTAAATTTTCAGAACGATCAAGAACCTATTAACAATGATGTGTCTAGAGTTTCTGTTGAATCTTTTCAAAATTTCGAAGAATGTTATCTGAAAAACTCGGAAGTATTCAGGAGTGCAACTTGTAAACACTAAAGATTCTCGCATGCTGACTAAAACTCTATGGGTTTTCATGTTTGAAAAACTCTGATTGTTTCGCTAGAAACAACGATGATTAGAATTTATAAAAGCGCTCTAGAAAGAAAATTTTCAGTTCTTCCGAATCCTTTTTCTGTTTTTATAGCACGCGTTTTTTTACAGTGAGTCGTGGTGATGTCTGTCTCGGATTTCTATTCGCTGGAACACGAAACGCAATTCAGCTTAGTCTTAGAAGATTACGCTAATAATCTGAACTGATCATAGTGTTCAGAAAGATATGACAGCTGCTTTGAATGTATTCCGCGTTTTTCGAAAACTCAAGCTCCAACGAACAGAAATATTGACATCTCTATGGATTTTTAGCTAATTTTTCTGGCTCAAATTATGGCTAAGTTTTAGTGTTGTATGATGTGACATAGAGTATTTAATCAAAACCCATAACCTCTATATAGTGATAGAAGTGGGTTGTTCCATGGGGTCACAACCATGAAAGCAGATGAGGTCTTGAAATTGGCTGATATATATCCTGTCTTGAAGAACTCAACGAGTTGTGTTGTCAGTGAAAAATCAGGGTCTCAGATCCTTCAATTCGAGAGATATTGGTCACGCAATTTTGACCACATCCTTAGGATCTTGAAAATGCATCAAGCGTTATGACAAATTATGTTCGTAACAATCGCTGGCTCTTCGGAGGCATTACTTCTTTTGCATTTTATGTTTGATTTGATAAGATGTGGAAGTTTTTCTTATCTAAGGGCTATAATTCACAATTAAGACAATTACTCAGTTATTTGTTAGTGATTATTACTGTAAATATGTCAAGAGCACCTAATATTGGAGACCATTATTTTGAATGATTAATCGTTTTCCAATTAAAGAACTCAAAAGAATTTCTATATCGCACTTATACAACGATTCTGACCTTGAAATATTCAGAGAATAAAGGAAACAATCACTGAATTTCACTTTCTATCGAAAAACAAATACGATTATTTCATGCTTCGAGCTATTAACCGTGTAAGTTTTCAGTTTTTTTTATTGTCTAGAAAGTTTTTTCAAGTATGTCTTGGTTGAGCTACACGAATACACTGAGCCGAGTCCACTCTTATTTGCAGTGCTGCTGCTTCATGAAGTCGTACTTCTCTATTGCAATGTTTCTTCAGCAGATACTCTGATATTGGATGGGTTAACGAACGTTGATAGATTGTATTAAAGCTTAAAGGACAACTACAGCTTTAATGATTCAATTTGGTTGAAAACGGCAAGGTTTTTAGATCCCGCGTCTGCAAAATCGTCGCCTTTGTTCTATTAACAGTATGTTTGATGCGTAATTTTTTTGTATCTTATTCTAGTCGCACAGTGTACAATCAAGATCTTATGACAGAGCCGGCCCAGATGACCAAAAGTTTATAAATCGATATTTCGACAATAAGTAGAACCTAGTGAGACTAGAAAAACCCCGAAAGGATGAGGCTCTGTAGGCCTTCCTTCCGCAACTATGACCATTCCACTGTGCTTCGACCAATGGTAAGGGATTTCTAAAACAGTGGGAAGTAGAATTTTGACATGAAATGTCACCCATATGTAGATCTTCAAATCCTTAGGATATTTTAAAAGTTTAAAGAAAATAAATGTTTCCCTTGCGAGATACTGAATTTTCTAGAAACTCGTTCCTTCTTACCTCTCTATGAAACGTGAATTTTTTTTGTAAATTCATTATTTTTGGGAAAAAACACTCGCTTGCACTAAAACTTTCAGGGTATGCTAAGGACCATGAGACCTACATATGGACGAAATTTAGATCAAAATCTCGTCATTGGACTTTTTGTTAATAACCTGCTATAGGTCGAAAACACAATAAAAATGGTCATAAGTGCAGAAGGAAGGCTTATGAGTTCTTATCCTTCTGGGTTGTTTCTAGTCGCCTCAGGTGCGAATCATGGTCAAAATATCAGTTTAAAAGCTTTTGATCATTATGGGGTGGTTCCTTCGTTAGATACAAGATGTTTCGCTATGCTAATGGTCTGAAGACTTTCCGCGACATTCCCAAAAAGTAAATTCAAATTTGTTCTATTTGTCTTCGAGAATTTTTAAGGCACTATAAGATAAAAGTATGATGTTGCGTCCGTAGTTCTCCCCTACGACCGTAAAAGGGAAAGAAAGTGCCTCTTCTGGTATAATGATAGTGCGTCTGTCCGGGAAACAGAAGATGCGTGGCTCGAGTCTCACGAAGCGATATCTTTTGTTCTGTTCTGTGGTATTCTATCTTGCTGCTTAGTTTTGGCCATGAGTCATAACATCAGACTCTTACATATGACACTGTATTTTATTTACCTGTACCTGTTTTGACACACAATACTTCATAGTTTTTATATTCCCATGCTTGATAATCATAGGGAATACACAAACAATGGCGACTTGCTTGAATGTTACCTGGTACCAGTGAACCTTGATGATTGACGCGACCAATATACAATGGTTCGCTATTCGCCAGATGTCCACCTAATACTGCATGGGGTGGTACTTGACCATTCGATGCTTGAACCCATTCAAGAATACACTGATGAGTATTTGTTAATACCTGATACGACATTTTATACTGATGTTCTTGGGTGTCATATGGAATAAAACAATACGGCTCAACCACTTTTCCTGGTATGAGATTACCAACATGATCATGACGGGCAACATAAACTACTCGGCCATCTTTTTCATATCCTCCAGACACAGCATTTGCAGGAACAGTACCGTTTTCGACATTTTCCCATGATAGAGTGGAATGAGTTTGACCTAAAGTACGCAAGTGAAAAAAAAAGTCTGCTTTACTTTCTTACATTCTTGACTAAGCTCTGAGAATTGTTCGAAAGTTTTCCTGTGACAATATCACTATAGAGTCAGTCGAATCAGAGATTCTCTATACGCACTTGTAGGTTTTGTCGCTATTTTTTACAAAAGAAATTAATTTTAATTAAATGCTTCGCTATATTGTTTATTGACTAAGTAAACGATCCATTAGTTGTGTAGAGTTGCTTATTTGTCAAGGGACAGTGATTTTTTAAAATTTTCTAAGTTCGGATGTTTTTTTAAGCTTCATTAGCACCTAGGTTTTTCAATATTGAATGATGCTGATAATAATGATATTGTGCAAAAGTTCTACTACTCCTCGCGAGTTTGTCAGCTTGGTCAGTATTTAAGGTAGCAGTCGACCTTCAGCTCTTCTGTTCAATAACATCAGATATATATAGCGCAGTATTGTAGTATCAGATACAATATACGTGGTGAAGAAAAGTGACGACTTCTAGATCCTGGTTTATTCACGCGGAAACTAGCTGGGTACTACACAACCGATGCATGTTTCATCACTGATTAATGGTCGATAGGAACTCTGTAAAAGCGTGTAGGTTCCAAACCTTCTATTGACTAGCAAGAGCCAACAGGTGCAGTTCAATGAGTGATATGATGGGCAGTGAATATCGGACATTTGTATCTCCTATTCTATTCTACTCTCTCCTCAATACACTGATATACAAATACTATTGTCAGCACACGATGTGATTATGTCGAATGAAGAGTATCTGCAGAGAATTATGGAAAAAAACGACTTAGGTCTTCACATATAAACATCGTTGAATTTTGTTTCTCGTTTCGACTGTCATTATATTAGATCAGAACTGAAGGATCGGATGCCACCATGTCGTCAAGTCTTAGCTCGACTCTTTGTCAGACGAGTTGTGAAACAAAAGTCCACGGTGCTAGTGACCGAATAAGTGCGTGCGCCTACTGTTAGCAACGCAGCTGATACGAAAGTATTCGGTTGCCGCAAAAGATTGACAGAAAACTAGGAAGTGTTATCAAAAGGAATCAACAAAGTAATCGCATCGTTGTTTAAAGACACACGTATCGACATACGACTTATCTTTGACAAATACAAACAATTTGCCCATTTGCACATGCTCGCGTTACGAGTGTTGTATTTCCCAGTGACGTCCATGTTAATGGAAAGTGTGTTTTCTTATGGGGTACTGTTCACGAGGCCTATTCGAAATCGTCTCGTAAAAGACATGGTGCCAAAACTGTCCTCAGTTAAATGTAATCTTGATCTATTGAAGAATCTATGGTTCTCAATGATTGTACTCATATACAGATCGAATTCCGAATGATCAAGCAGAAAGATCGAAGTTTCTTTACAAAACGATGCCTAAGGAAAGCTGACAATGGTGAAGTTGTAGGTGCAATGGTGGTTCAAAAACGAACACGGTGTGGAAGCTGGAGTCGGAGTTGGTCATCTTGGGAAGTGAGTTTTGAGATGGCTGTCCGTGTCTTATCGGGTATCATGGATGTTTTTTGAGACTCTTATGCTATGTCCTGTTGTTTTGAGCGTGATCGGCGAGTTGCGAAGATGAATGTGTCAAAACGTATCGATAGATACTTCATTGGATAGCAAAATTCTGTCTCCTGGATGGACTTTTTGAGAGTGAAGTGAATGGTAAAAATGCTGTGGAAAATTTCATTTTTCCGTACAATTAAATTTTGAAATTTTTAATGAAACGAAACGAAAATCACACCTAATTTTGCACCGCAAACTTGAAAATTGCAAAAATTGAAATTACAAAATGGATAAAGTTCTTTTTGAAAGTCTACGTACACTCCAAGAAAACTTTCAGTGTAAATTTATCACTATCACAGTACACTCAGCAAAACATTCTCACTGGAAAAAAATCTAGTCTTACAATCGATCTTAAGGAACTCACAAGAGGTGTACTTACTCCAAGAGTAAAACTTTTAGCTATGTAAATCTCGTTCCAAAATAGAAAACCTTCTGATGACCTCTTGTGCTACGGCTTTCCCTGTAAAGTAATTTCCGAAAACTTTTATTAACTAATTTTGCACCTTAATCTTCGAAATTTCCATCGTTCTAAGCATAAATTTCCGTAAAACTGTAAATTTAAATCAGTTTTAGACTGAAAATTTTCCCAAAATGACAAAACTCCGAAACACTTGTGTATGTCAAACTTTAAACAAATAGTACAGCATACTAGAAGACTCTCCAGAAAACTTGTACACTTAGACATAATAGAAGATCCGAAGTCTTCTAATATGATAAGAGGTTTGATATATGAGCCAGCATTCGTGAAATTCGGAAGTAATATTCTTATTCTAGCCTGGTGTAACGATTCCGTTGACTTCTTTGTAAACATTTGGTGCTGTATATTGATCCGTTCCACCAGCTAGTGCAACCGACAACCACACATGTGGATATTCATTACATGGTCCAACATAACGTGCATAATCGTTTGAAACACCGTCTCCTTGTACGTCAACCCATTGTTGAAATCGATCACTATAACCATAATCCGTGATGTTTTGCCGCGGTTTCACATCGTGTGACGGTGAATTGATGGATTCTGAAATTAGAATCATGATGATAAAATGATGTGAACTGTTCTGCCGTCACTTCGAAAGGAGCGAAGGTACGATAAGGCCATTTTTCATCTCACGATATTTTCAAAAACAAATCACATGAAAATAACAAGTGACTTATGAGCTAAAACGTGAGCATAATCATTTATCTTGATTTGACATCGTGGTTTTGGAGACCTGTACCTCCTACGGGATATCTGGAAAACTTTTTGTCTCTGATTTGAGTGAAATACATATAGTGATATGGAGTTATTGAAGTTGTACAGTGGGCATTTTCGGCTAGGGCAGGCGAACATGCAATTCTTTTGCTCGAAAATGATTTATTTTGCTCAGCAGTGATCGTATATCACTAAGAGGATCACTTTTAATAAAAAAACATTTTTTTTCAAAAAATATTTTTCGCCCGAAAGTACCTGAAGGGAGACTCTTGCCCACATTTTTTTGAAAAACGGTTTTCTGTTCAAAAACATTTTTTTATTATACATCATTCGGTGCAGTTTTGCGCACTGATACCTAATATCACATTATTTTCATAATAAAAACGTTTCTTGATCGATAAAAATGAAAAATACATGAAAACAGGTGTCTCTTCAGAAATTCTGTACCTAAGTACCGGAAAAAGCCGCATTCATTGTAGATACCGGATGTGTTGAGAAAAATTTTGGTGTATTTTTCAGTTAATTTCAAACTTGGATGTCGGTGGATATCTCATTACAACTGAAGCACCCTTTTTCAGAATGTGTCCTTTGGTGATTCTGTTATTTTTTTGATTTACTTTTAGGTTCAAATCAAAATATTTCTTCATCGATAGAGAGCTGGTAGAGTCCTGATTACAAATAATACGTTTCGAAAACTTAAATGTAATTCAATTCAATAAAAGATTGATTTTACCGTAGAGGTCACTGATATATGAGGTATTTTTCTGTTCAACATTTTCAAACGCAACTTCTAGATTCGAAACAAAAATTTTTACGCCATTAGAAAGCCCATCTATCAAAGTATATTTGCCACCATTTTAATTTTAAAAAACGCACTTTCTATTTTCCCTTAAATGTTCGCCTGGATGTTCACTGTGTGGATCAATGCTATGGTTTGACGAAAGTTGGTCCTCCAGCAATCCTGAAGAAAGGGGTCCTGTTATGACCTCTCACCTTCAGAAAAAAACTGTGACCACTGTAGAACGATTCGGCTGAAAGTTTTTGTACTGGAAACATCGTAGTAGTAAGAAAAATGCAGAAAAATTCTAAGGGATATGCGAAACTTAGGAAAATTTCTAGAAAAAGTCAGATAAAATTGGAAGAAATTCACGTACAGTGGCGCTCAAAATTGATCGTGCACCTAACGGATGACCTTGTTTTCCTAATATCTCAAGGAAGATTTAACGTATTGAGGTACGGTTTTTGGCAAAATGTAGCTGAAGTTTTATAGTTTATTTGCAGTAAGTATCACCTCTTTCCGCTGTAAACTTGTTGTGCTAGATAAAAAATACTAAAAATGATGTCCTTTGAATCAGCTCAAAATTGATCGTACATATCATATAAAAATATAAGTCAATTTCACAATGAAATACTGCGCATTTTGTGATTCCCAACAGAAAACATGTTTCAAAGGTATTTTAAATATAAAAATGAGTAAAACTTCGTTGAAACATTGTTCAAATCGCTTTCCCTGCGGAAAACACAAAGTGCGCAGTATTTCATGGCGAGATTTACCTATTATTTTTATATGAGGTGTACCATCAATTTTGAACCACTTCAAAGGACATCATTTTTAGTATTTTTTATCCAGCACAGCAAGTTTACAGCGGAAAGAGGTGACACTTACTGCAAATAAACTATAAAACTTCAGCTACATTTTGCCAAAAATCGTATCTCAATACGTTAAACCTCTCTAGAGATATGAGGAAAACAAGGTCATCTGTTAGGTGTACGATCAGTTTTGAGTGCCACTGTATAATCATCCAAATTCGAGAAAAATCGTAATATTATGAAAAAGTTCGGAAAAATTTAGGTAAACTCAGAAAAATTCGAAAGAAATTACATAATATTTTAATTCTAAAATTGTACCACCTTTCTTTTCGGCCGAGTTGAAGACCTTAGTTGAAGTTCTGTCTCTCTTCCCTCTTTCATAGTATGCACAATCATCTATAACACTCCAGTAGATACTGTTTTT